AGTAAACGACAAAAACTAGGAAATATGTTTCAAGCTGACGATGACAATGCGGTTAACAAAGTTGTCGTTGTTGATTCATTGCAATTGAGTAAAAGTATCAAACGCCGCCACCACCACCAACATGGACTCCATGACATTTCTGTGAAAAACAACAGCAACAGAAATATAAAACAAAAACAACAACGCCACAAACGACAAAGATCCAAACGACATGATCTGAATGAAAATGAAAAAATATCGAATATCAATATTGAAAATGAGAATATGGAATTGAATACTCAACGACAAAACGAACTACAAAAACAACACCATCATCATCGTAGCCATCAACATAAGTTACATAGACACGATGAAAAACATCATCATCATCACCAACAGCCACATCATGCTCAACATGAATCCCACTCCACTCCGACCCTTGAGATTGGCCATGATTATGTAACTGAAGTCTCGAAGATATCATCACCGACCTGGCAGGACACAAGCAACAACAACAAATACAAGCATTTTGACACTGTCACACATGAAGAAGCTATCGATAGCACGGCTGACTACCCAATTTCCGCCATCAACGAGCCATTGCCCCTGAAACAGATGAATGGAGACAACGATAATAGCGACTTTGTGTCGCACTCTTTGGCCAAGTTACCCACATTTCAGAATGAGAGTGCCCTTGGAGCGGACAACAGTGTATCATTCACTCACAGCGGTAGTCTTTTGGATGTTATGCCCAAATCTGTTGCTGACGGTAATGAAATTGATTTCATTTTAACGGTGATTGGGGAAATCGATGAGAAAATGTGGGTGTTGCTGATTGTCATGGCCATTTGTGCCCTGGTCTATTCGGGTAAGTTTTATAGTTTTTTTCTTTTTCGGATTGTTGTTAAACTATTTTTTATGAGTTACTTAGTCGTGGGGTTTGGTACATAAATGATGTGGCACAGTGTGTAAACTCAAGTCGAATTTAATTTTCTAAGAAAAGGAAATGTCTATCGCTATAGTATGGTTGAGGGAAATGTTCTATATATGAGTCGTTTATTTTGAAAATGTTTTATATACTGAAATATTTGAAGGTTGGAGTTTGATTTGTTTCAAAAATATTATTATGTGATATTAATATTGTTTGTGGCTTTGTGCCCTTAAATGTAAAAGATTATACAAATATGCAAAATTTTGTAGAAAACCGAAATTTGTATCAGAACCTAAAATGGACTTAAACCATTTTCAAAATTAACGACTCATATAATGGTTATATGTTTTAAGCAACTAATTAAATAGTTGTAAGAGATAACATTATGCCAAGTAGACATTCTGTTCAAATGTGGTCTCAGAAGGAATAACCCAATTTGAAACTAATCCTAATGAACGGTTTTCTAGATACCAATAGTCGAATGTGGAAATTGTCAGGAACGAGAAATTTCACGTTGGTCTTTATAAAGACATTTTCAAGGGTAATGACAGATGTGGAATATTTTTGTTCCAAATATTTACTTTCACTCGACTTATTTTCAGAAGGGAATAAACTGCTCTTCTACTGTCCTAAGCACTAAAGGTCTGTACCCCTAGTTAAAATTTTAGTTTTAAGACCTCCAACTCCCACAAAAATGGTCTAAATTGAATCCCCTGCAGACTTTTTTAGTATCTCAGCAGACACTTCCAATAAGTCTTTTTATAGACCAACCTATTTTTATAAAGGCTTATGGTCTCTGTACAGACCAATTGGTCTGTATACACACCCGAGGTCTCTCTGTAGACCTGAGCTCTCTCTGCAGACTTGTGGTCTCAATACCCTTTCAATTAAATTTCCAATTGTAAGTGGGTGTGTCTTTGGTCTCTTTATATACCATGATACCTTTATAAAGACCTATGGTCTTTATAGAAACCAATTCGACTACAGAAACACCTGTGATCGGTATACAGATCAATTGGTATTTCAATAGGCATCATACAGGCCAGTTGGTCTTTATAAAGACCTGTGGTCTCAACACAGACCTATTTGTCTTAATAAATCCAATTTTAATATTAGGTTGGAGGAAAATAAATCCATAATTTTTTCGGCGATCAAACAATTTCAGATTTAATCTCTTTGTAAGGGTGACATTTTGCAGTAAAAAAATATTTTGCGGTTATTTGTTTGGTGTATTCAGTTGTGAGTTACAGGGTATTAAAAATGTATGTGAACAAATTGAAAATTCGGTACATTTTACAGTTTTTCATTGACAAAGGCGAAAATGCATGCCAAGCGGCTTAAATTGTGAATGGTGTTTATGGTTCCGATACTGTTACATCCGATTATGTGCAATTTTGGTTTCGTAGATTCCGTTCAGGAAATTTTGATGTTATAGATGCACCTCGCACTGGTAGGCCGGTCGTCGAAAATGTCGATAAAATCGGAGAAATGATCGAAGTTGATCACCTAGGAGCTAAAAATCGGCCATAAAACTATTTTAAACCACTTACAATTGACCAGAATTGGCCAACAGGAGAGGTGTCGTGTTCCACCAGGACAACAGTAGGAAAAACACATCTACAGTGACTTGCCAGAAACTTCGAAATTTTTGATTGCATTGCAAAATTTCTTGGTATTTAGGAAGGATTGTGAAAATCGACTACTAGAGTTTTTTTTACAAAAAGAGAGCAGGACTTCTATGAGAGAGGCATTATGAAGTTACCTTTAAAATGGCAACAAATCATACAACAAAACAGTGCATATTTGACCCACATCGGACATTCCAAAGCATGGTTAATAAAGTCCTACAGTTTATATAAAAATAATGGATTTCTTTTTCCCCAACCTAATATAAGACGAAGACTACTTAAGTTGTTCGTGAACGAAGCAGTTCGACTTATTCGGCAAAACCACATTTTGTTTTCTTACAGTCTTCGGACAAATTCGCAATACGAACAAGAGAAAATGAGTCGACGAAACGAGTTCTAACACATCGACACAAATCAGCGTCTATTTGGCTGATAAAATCTTGGACTTGATATACCATCCGCGATACGGTATGACTTGACCTATAGGTGTTTCGACGTTGGAAATACGTAAAATATATGGACTATTGAGGTGCAGTCCAGCGTCGAATTTCGACCTTGTGGGCTGCCACCTTTGCGTACTCGCGGTTTCCATAAAATGGAGATTAAATTGGATTTGTAATTTAGTTTGCAACTCCTCGAAATATGCTCCAATAATGCGATAGGATAGAGTTTTTAAAATTATTAAGGATAGAGTTTTTAAAATTCGATTACTCCTAGTATATTCGTTATTGAATATCGTATACATTGGTCGACGTTGTGGTATTGTCTCCATGTAACGTACAGCTTCCTATAATCGGTATTTTGATGTATTTGAGAACGTTTTCCGTCTGAAGATGGTATTTTGGGTTCTAATTGGGTATAAAAAACTTTTCCAAATTGTTCCACATTGACCCACATTATTCGGATTTGAGGTTTTTGCGAGCCCTTTTTAACCGAATTAACTTTAATTTGATATTTTGAGACCTTATTGGATGACAAATCGTTTCACCAAAACTTATAAATAGCCATTGATCATTGGATACATAACCCATATAAAGTTCCAACACCTTTATAGGAATTTTGATGGTACTAGCCGAATTTTTCTAGCGATATTAATATATTTTAATATATATTTTTTTGATAATAACTTCCTTACATAACATTTTCAATATTTTTCCATATCACACACAAAGACAACGCGATATTTCCTGTATGCTCAAGGTCCTAGCCCATAAAAAATTCCGATCAATATTATAAATTTCAAATGGCCACCTCATGGTGAATGGTATAAGAAGTTCGCCCCGGTCGAAATTAACGACGTTTAAACATAATTTTTTAACATATTATGAATGAAAATCCGACAATTAATCTCAAAATATTACATTCTCTTTAAAATGCCAAGATAACACCTCTTATTAAAAAATCATGTAGTTATAACATATGACAATATTTTGTAAAAACATAAATACTATTTCGTAATAGTGTGCCTCAGATTTCCCAGAATAATCTAGTTACTAGGTTTTTTTTAAGATTTTCGTTTTTTTAGAAGTGAAGTTTTCCACTTCCTATACTTCCAAAACAATTTCCTTTATCACTATTGAACGTTTCCCATTACCGTAATTTTATTTACATATTTATATCATTTGCAGTCCTGCTGTGTATCCTGTCAAAACCAGCAATGAATGAAATATTTTTGGTACTCGTGTCTTATGTAATCGTTGGTACATTTGTGGCCATACAAATTGCCGTGGGCTATTCAACGCTACCAAGGTAAGTAGTAGAATGGAATGAAAACCATAGCAGATAAAGGCCGGGTAAATTATTATGGGTGGGGAAGTTCGCTCAATACAGTAAGTAATTGTTTTAATCAAATGATAGCACCGGAGAGGGTTTAACACAAAAAACGTGCAGTGAATTTCAATGTGTATTCTTCGAATTAAATTGGCGGCATAGTACACTTTGTTGAGATTGCTTTGCCATATTTAATAATGTAATGTTATTTATTGGAATACCCAGAAATCGGTTATTTATATGCTACAAAAAATAAATAAATAAATTAAGCGAAGAAAATTAGAATTTATGTTAAAGATAATTTGCAAAAATTCATATTGAATTAAGTTTTTAGTATGTGTTTTAATAATATTTACACTAATTAATTCCCATCGTTGTACTAACATGAACATGTAAATTATCTTCTCTATTATAGCAAATCATTTAATGGCTGTGCTTGTTGTGTCATCTTTGTCTACATGACATACACAATGCTGCCATTGCGTCAGCGAGAGTCCCTGGTCGGTGGTATCATATTATCAGCAACACAGATTTACACTAGCATAAGTCATGTGGAGGATACATACCAATGGCAAGAGGTAAATATTTCTTCCAGGATAAGTTTGAAAAATAATATCTCGTTTATTAACTATTTGAACATGATCATAAACACATTTTATTCAACAAAAATAATAAATTTACTCTTTATGGTTTCGCCTGATTCGGCACTTCCAAACTTATTGATGTTTCATAACTATAGACGCACTCATACAAAATTAAATAATAATATTTTTAAAAAATTTAAATAAAGTAACATTAATTAAAAATGGTTAGGGCCTCCCTTATTTTGAATAAGTTCAAAAATTCTATTCATCATACTGTCTATGAATATTTTTTTCGGAAATCTTTATCGATTGCCCGCTATTCATCGACAATTGCATCTTTGAGGTTAAATACAGTTTGGTTTTCTGCATAGGCACGACGAGTCAAGATTCCCCATATGTTCTCGAGTTCATAGTTTGAACATTTTTTATTGGAATCATTTTTTAGTATGCGACTTTTATAAATTGATTGCGTTGTCCTGCTGAAAACAAGTCCTTCATTGTTGCTGCTTCCCAAAATGGCAATAATTTGCATTCCACGACTTCAACATACTCCGCTGAATTCATCCAATAAATAGGAAATACCACCAATCAAGCAATCCGTCGCTATAAAATGCTCCTTGGTATAACGTACTGAATTGAGCCTAGAGTGATGTCCGCCAAGTTTCGAAAAAATCGGTCCACATTTAGATATAGCTCCCATATATAGTTTCGTCCGATTTCATGTAAATGTTGCTCTAAAGTCCCTATATATCTTTGGATTTGCACCAAATTTGGCATAACGTACTGAATTGAGCCTAGAGTGATTATCTGCCAAGTTTCGAGAAAATCGGTCCAGATTTTGATATAGCACCCATATATAGTTTCGTCCGATTTCATGTAAATAGGGCACCAAAGTCCCTTCGATTTGCACGAAATGTGGCATAACGTACTGAATATAGCTCCTATATATTTTTTCTTCCGATTTTATATAAATTGTGCAAAGTTTGTACGATTGCAACACAATCCGGCAAGTTTAGGGGCACCAAACTCCTCACGTTTATAAGATATTTATCCAAATAATCAACAGGTGTCCGATTGGTATTTGCTTTAAATTGATTTACATAATGTTGTCTCATTGTAAGGCGCATCTCTACATCTGACCAAATGAAAAATTTGGTTTAGGTTGAAGAATGACATGTTTATGGATCCAATTTCATTTTACTTGTCCTTCAAAAATGCGACGGCCGCTAGGATTCATCTGTTGAATATACCCAACGTGGTGAAGGGGATCATATAGTCGGCCCCGTCCGACTTTACTGCTTTCCTTACTGGTTTTTATACCCTTCACCACACTGTTGTACAGGGTATTATTAGTTTGTGAATCTATTTTGATTTGCCTATCCTATATTGTACTCCGAAGAGTAGCCATTATAGAACCATACCTCCATGCTTCCCAGTACCCTTGCAATACTTTGGCTTGAGTCTCTAATTCATCTATATAGATAATATTTCTCCACTGAGTCGGATTGCAATTAATATAAGCTTTTGCAAAATCCAATTTTAGATTTCCGATTCTTTTCAGAAATAAAAAAAGTCTTTCTTGATAGTTACCGGGCATGTAGACCTGCTACCATAGCTCTTCAATGCTCTGTTCTTAAGGTCAAAATTGAAAACAGACATATTATATCTTATTTCGATAAAACACTTTTAAAATAATCTATTAGAATCGAAATAGGTGTATAAACCAAAACATAGTATTATCTTTGCAATTTCTGTGGTTTTAGTTTTGGCCACCAGTGTAAATATAGGTCGATCTGGAGGAATAGCCCTTATATAAAGGTTCAATGCATTTATAGATATTAATATAGTTCTAGACTCATTTTCCAACCGAAGTAAGTACATATCGGAACATTCACAGAACAGTTTCAATATATGTTAATGTTTCTAAATAGACCAATTAAAAATATCTGCTTGGATTTTTGTGTGCCGAAATGTCAAATCATAGTTGCATCGATTAAAATGTGGCCTAAGAACATTAAAATACCTAAAGTGGTACCTTTGTATGAGGTAATGTCAAAACATAGAAGTATATTGAAAAGTTTCCACTAGAAGTTAATATCCAAATGATATATTACAGCCATTTCGGTTGGAAAGTGGGTCTAGGATCATTAGAATAATTAAACAGGAAGTAGCATTGCATATGGGGTTAAGTTAAAACACGCACCTATGAACATCTCTGACAGACAAAAAATGAATAGAGAATCTTCAAAATATCTAAATTGGGGACGGGGACTTTGAAATTGGACAAAACATAGACATGTATTAAAATTCTGCGAGGAATTATTTTATTCTATCTTGAAATGCTAAACTATAATTTGAAAATTCATTTAAATCGTAAATGGAACGGTATCGTTATATAGTGGACCAACTTATTTAATTTCTAATGAATATGTTATTATATATTCAATTGAAATTAAATATGTTGGTCCACTATATAACGATACCGATCCATTACTATATATTCAGTTTCCATATTGGCAGTTTTTGTGTCATTTTTGACAATAATTAAGCTGCTTCTCTTTTTTTGACATTTTTTAAAGGTTGTCATCGTTAGGTATTATGTATATTTGCAACAAGATCGTTATAACAGAATTAAAATAAATGAAAACTAGAAATTGGTACCGAATAAATAGTTAGTTATAAGAAACGTTCGCAATATCCGTAGTTCGCTATATGAGTAAAGATTTGTATGAAAAATGTGTCTTCAAACTTCGGGACCAGGAAATGTGTTCGCTATAAAGAAAGTTCGTTATAAAAGTATTCGACTGTATTAATATTTTGATGTGTTGCAAAAGGAATGACTGAATTGTTGAGAGTATTCAAATTGTATTGGGTTATTAAAGACATTTTGGGTTCTTCGACACCTACTCTTTACTATTTTTAGTGAACTTAAGTCTACAAAAAATAGGAAATAGTCTCATTCTATTGTAAACTTTAAATATTCATGGTATATATTACATAAAATTAACATAGTTTTAGTTAACCTGCAAAAAAAAAATACATATAAAATAAATAAACAAACGAAAACTTGGCATTATCCTGCATATGTTTAATTGAAACGGTATCTTCGTTTTTTACCTTTACCCTTAACAGGATTGCTTCCAGTCACATGTAATCGTATTCTGATCTCATGTTTGTTTTCATTTCCTTTGTTTTATTTGTTTTTTTTTTTTTTGAATAAAATACAAATAAAAATAAATATTTATGTCGATGGTTTTTTATTCTTAGATTTGATTAAGCTTATACACTAACACAACAACAACAACGTGTAGACAATGCTGTGTGAACCAAATAATAAAAATAAAAATTTATTGACCATCTACTGTTTTTTTTTTGCCATTGTTGTTTTTGGTTGTGTGTGTGTGAGTAAGATACCCCTAACTAACATGTTTTGTATTTTTGTTTTCTCATTTCCACTTTTTTTCTCCTTTGTTTATTTCTGCCTTCTTCCGGTCAACATGGTTTCTGCTGTTTTCACATTTGTTGCCGTTGTTGCTGTTGGCAGTTATTCAGCACTTTAATGGCTTTATTTTTATCAAATCTGACCGGCATTTATACCCATTGGCCCAAGGAGAAGGCGCAACGTAAAGCATTTATCGAGACGCGTCAGTGTATTGAGGCTCGTCTGCGAACACAACGAGAAAATCAACAACAGGTATGTATCAAACTATATGTGTGTGTATTCATCTATATGTATATGTCATTTTGTATGTATAGGTTACAAAAATGTACACAAACAAACCGACAAACAAGTAACAATTACAAAATTGTTGAATGAATAAGATTGTGTACTCTTTGGTATAAAGGGCATTGTTCGGCAATTTACACAGCTGAATAATTAAATTTGTCCATTAAACGAACAACAATGGTGTATTTTTTCTTTAAGTATTTTAGTCTTATTATATTAAGAGGGACCATATGATACCCTTCACTATTTTGGCTATACGCTAGAAATACAACTCCTTAGATTTTTATTATTATATTAAACCGGCGTTGTTCTGGTGGAACACGACACCTCTCCTGTTGGCCAGTTCTGTTCAACTTTAAATGATTTAAAACAGTTTTATGGTCGATTTTTAGCTCATGGGCGATGTTTCGACTGCTAACATGCCGGTCAATTTCGATCATTTCTTCGATTATATCGACATTTTCGACGACCGGCCTACCTGTGCGAGGTGCATCTTTAAGATCAAAAATTCCTGAACGGAATATAAAGAAACCTAAAAAACACCAATCTGTACTAAATTCGGTACTTTATGCAAAATTTTGTGTCAATAGGACAATTTGCAATTGGTTTTAAAATTTACAATATATGGTTCCAATCGATTTTATATATTTTGTAGATCTATACCCTCACAGATATATATAAGCCGTCATTAGCAATAGGCTATAAAATGATCGGTCCTCCTCAACGTGGTTGTAAATTAAATTTGTCATTCAATTTTGACCCCTGAAATATGAATATATTGTTCCAAGTTTACAGGAATCCCCCTGTTATTCAGTACGTGTTGGGTTCCTTTTTGTCCATCTGTTGGTGTTAAATTGTAAACAAAGTACAGGACGCATTTATAATCTGAATTGGTTGAATTTTGGACAGCTCATTTATTTGGCCCAAGGACGAACCCTATTGAAATTTGTGCACCATTTATTGAAAATCGGACGAAACTATATATGGGAGCTATATCTAAATATGAACCTTAACCGATTTCAACGAAACTTTACACACAGTAGGCTATACCAACTTCAGTGCTTTGTGCAACATTTTGCGTGAATCGTGCGAATCAAAGTTTTGTTGAAATCAATTCAGATTTGTATATAGCTCCCATGTATAGTTTTGTCGGATTTTCCGTAAATGATGCAACAAAGACAGAAAGTTAGACCGATTAACACAAAATAAGTTCCTCAACCGTAACTAATGATACTGAATTTTTTTACAAAGATCAGAAGATAATGCCCTTGTACCTATTTCGATATATTTCACTCGTACCTGTATTTAACGTTAGGCAATGGAAGATATAATGCCTTTGTAGAAGATAATGCGCTTGTACCTATTTAGATATATTTCACTCGTATCTGTATTTAACGTTAGGCAATGGAAGAGATAAAAAAACTTGTTCATATTCTAAACCGTTGTTATCTATAGAGACAAAATTGCTAATTTTTTGCCCATTCAAATAATATTCCAAGTAAACTTGGTATGGTAGCCTAGATAACAATCTGATATTGAGTTTTGCCAAAAGTCCAAATTTACTTGTGCAAATTGGGAAACAAAGCTAAAAGAAATAAAGACTGTCAAGAATGCATTCCTTACCAAAGCCAACATTTGAAAAATTTTGTAAATTTCGTATGAAGCTAACGAAATATCCGAGTTCAGCCGAAGTTGACACATCAATATTTTGAACAGGCCTAGATCATAGTTGATGATGGGGCCTCTCGGTCCACTCCTCTGGTACCTTCCCCACAATGTGTAAACATTTTAAAAATTGTAAATATAATATCAATCGAGATGAATTCTGATTTAATCCAAACAATGCACATCGTATTACTTTTACCAAGCCTTGATCTTGGCCCATTTCTATGTAATATCAAAATTTTGAAATTCTAATATCTATTCCCTGCTTTGATCTAAACAGTATTTAAGAAGGTGGGCTTGGTATTTGATTTTTCAGATAGCTTAACAATATTGCTATATGTGTATATGGGTAATATTGCTAATTTTTTAATATTCCATATTCAAAAAATCGGTTTTTTGTTTTCGTGGTACATCAATGATTTTAGGTACACATATAGAGAAAAATTTTCCGACTCCGAAACCGTTCCCGATCAAATTTTTGGTTGATGCGCACAAAACTTTTCGAGGTTTTAATTTTGGGCATAAGAAAAAAATCTTGAAAATGCGCGTTTTATTATATTGACAAATAACGTTTATATATATATATATATATATCTTCCTTCGTAAAAAGTTACACATCTTCGCGAAATATGAGAAAAATAATAAAAATATAGGAGACTATCATAGGCCCGCTACATCGTTAGCGGATCTTTTTATAATTAAAATAATATATATGGGCAATATTACCAATTTTTTAATATTCCATTTTCAAAAAATCAGCTTTTTTGTTTTTGTGGCACATCAATGATTTTTGGTACATATATAGAGAAAAATGTTCTGACTCCGAAACCGTTCGCGATCAAATTTTTGGTTGATGCGCGCAAAAGTTATCGAGGTTTTAATTTTGGGAATAAGAAAAAAATCTTAAAATTACGCCGTTTATTATATTGACCAAAAACGTTGATATATATCTTCCTCCGTAAAATAAGGATATGAATATATTATAATAATCACGATAAAGTTGCACATATTCGCGAAATATGAGAAAAATAAAAAATATATAGCAGATTACATCAATATTTTCAATATATTAATGACATACACACACACCTAAAAAATAATTTAAAAATATCTACATATCTACATCTAAACACCATGATGAATTAAATGATATCAAAATCACACAAGTCCGTGGAGCGGTTTCTAAATCAAAGCGACAGCAAAACAAGATATTGAGGAAAAATATTTGTTTTTAGTTCGAAAAAATTATGTCATCACATTTATTTTTTAATTTTATACAAGAAATTTCAGAAAAAAATGTTGGGGTTATTCTGCTATTTTACCTGAATTTCGCCGAAAAATGTACATATATAATAATAATCACTTTTTGTGTATAAATATATGCCTTGCGGATTATATCAAGACCCTTCCGATAAATCTTAGAATTCTATAAATAGGAATAAATCTTAAAATAAAATAATATTATGAAATATACATTTTAAATTGCGTGTAAATCGCGTAATTTTCAAAATCATTTGATGCGCATGCGGTTTCCAGGAAGTACTGAAGTTTATCTTCCAATCCATAAATATTTTGCGAAATTTCATTTGACGGCTAAGATGTGCCACACGTTACATTGAAGTACCCAAAAACTCGTAAAACGCGAATAATTTCCGAAAACTTCATATGCCTATAACGCGCATCCGATTTTAGTGTGCACCCTAAAAAATTCATCGATCTATGGATGAACCAGCCCAATCTATTTTTGAGATGAATTGGGTACATCTCTCTTTCAGCTGAAGATTTTAATACTCTTTTTTCGCAAAAGTACAAAAACCGTAACAGGTCATTTATTGAAACGGGAATTATCCAGAGAAAACGCAAATAAATCCCCGTTATTTTCAAAATATATATCAAATTACTCATATTCGCGACTACAATAATCTTATAATCGATTTTTAGAAATTCCTGTTTGCGCATTAAAACTAGAAGTAATATTCAAAACAACAGTAAAAATCGAGCTTCAAAATGTCAGCATCAATTAAAGGTAGGTGCAGTTAAAATTTTGAAAAATGATACATAAGGGGCGTAGTCCCCATTTTGTTGGCTTCTAGTTTCACTTTGACATGAAGACCGTGAAATGAGTGGGTTAATCACAAATCGATAGAGAACATAAAAATACTGGTTCGCCTCAACCTTTTTTTACACATTTTTTTTGACATTAAAGTAGACACAGCTTCCACTAAAATAAAGTTTGGAGGTCAATATCATGAACAGTTTGCAACGACAGATCAATTAACCCAAAACTCTTCACTTTTTTTCATATACTTAAGTAATTCCCGAATTATAAAGGGGCGAACCTCCGGTTCAGCTATGTTAAAAAATTGGCAATATTGCCCATATATATGTATATATATAGAACAAGTCCTTGTTCCGACAGAGTTATACACAGGTTTTAATTATTCGTTTTATATACAGTATATGTTTAATTGAAGATGTTCCGGATTTTATGTTGATTAAATATATATTTTGATCCTTTTTGTAGGAGGTATAAGAGAAATGGTCAGACGAGTCCCACCTTCAGACTTGACCTAGACTTGGTAAAGATAATAGGTTGTGCAAAATTTGATTCAAATCGGGTATTCCATTCGCCTAATAATGCATTTATAAATATTGAAAATGTTGACCTTTTGTGGGGGAGATCGCGACGAATTTACTGAATTTGCATTTCAGGTGGTGGAGGGTATTTAAAGTGCGGCCCGGCGTAAGCGACGTATTAAGAAGAGTAGGAATATTCCTCATGTTTGTTGCTATGGGACATTAATTGCCCTTTCCACCATGAGGAGACAAAAATAGAAACAAACATTCCAATTTTACCATCGCAAAGGGGGTGTCGTACCGTTGTATGGTGGCTACCCAGAAACTTCGGCCAATATTAAACATTTTTAGTATGGATATGTATTATTCAATCAGAACCCAAAATATCAAATTACTACCAATTCGGTTCGAAAACCTGTTCAAAGTCCTCAAATTATCTAATATTGAGGGGGGGAACAGTTATATGGGGTTAAGATAGCCCCCATATAACTGTTCCCCCCCTTGGGTCACTATTAATAATTTTTGATACAGTTGTGTGTTATTCAATGAGAACCAAAAATACCAAATAACAGCCAATTCGGTTGGAAAACGGGTCGAAAATGCCCAAAATACCGAATATTGGTGGGTACCGTTATATAGAGGCTACACCAAAACGTGGACCGATATATTCCATTTGCAATACCAAACATGCTAGGAGTACTAGTAATGTCTATGTAAAATTTCAGAGCTCTTTCTTAAATATTGCGATGTCTATCGTGATTTCAACAGACAGACGGATATGTGTAAATCGACATAGAATATATAATAATTTCTGGGGTCTCCGGTGAATATTTCCAGGTATTTGCAAACGGAATGACAAATTTAATATAAACTCCACCTTATGGTGGAGGAAAGCGCCATCGTCGAACGGGATGACAAGTCTGATTTTAAAATTCGCTACATATATATATATATATGTATATATATATATATATATATATTGAAGTCTAGAAGTACGTGAATCGGCTCAAATTTAAATATAACACATGTGACTCAATCAATGCCTTTATACATAATAAAATGCATTAATATAATGTTACTTCGTTCTTAAATTTATATACATAACAAAAGAATAAATAATTTATTCTATAAAGTTGTGTAATTTTTTATTCAATTTATATAATACCATTTTCACTATCTCGCCAATGTTTCCCTCCAATTGAAAATCATTCATGTTTTATATGTGCATCGTTTTTTTCCTATTGTCCACGGTATTTTTAAATTCCTGCATAAATAAATACGAAATCCCCATTGATACTACTCGGCTCCATGCCCTGCCATTTCCAGCATTTCAGCATAAACAAAACATTCGCATGTATCGACATTGATTTTGTACTCGTATTGATTCTAGCAATCATCAGAATACCTGTTAAGCTCCTTTTCGGCTCGAATACAAATGTTCAATAAATATTGTTCTATATGGCGGTGGTTCGTTTATGAGATTTATGTGCTTCGCATTTTTTGCTGGATTTTTAAAAATGTTTACTTTTTCCAACAATTTATTTGTAGATATATGTATAGGTATGTATTTTGGGGGTTGTTTGTCCATTGATTGACGATTTATCACATGTATCTGCCATTATCCGATATCGTTTTTTGGGTTAAATTGAAAATAAATAGAAATTGTAGGGACCCTTGTCAATGCTAACAAGTTAAGTAAGTGCGATAGTGCGGGAATGTCGGAGGGAGTGAAGTAGATATATGTGTGCCCCCTTTGCACCAATATCAAAGTTCAAAATTACAAAAGAACGTACCGTAAAACCATTTGCATGTAGAATGAAACTTGTTATCATATTTGCAAATGTTGTTTTGCAAATGTGTCAGAAAATGGGCTAACATTTTTGCAATTCTTTTTGTAAACTAAACAACAAAAATAAAATTTTAAATCTACGTAAGAAAAGTAAATTGAACATTTAAATAAAATTATTTTAATTTGTGCTGCCAGTGTGCCATAGACTTGTCCGATTTTTGAACCGATTTATCCGAATGTTATACACAAATATTTTTGTGAACTTACTACCAGGGGGTACAAATATTATACCATGTAGAAGTAAGATAATTCTGTGCTAGTGCTTGGGTTATTGTTCGTCGACAAGTATTTCTTGGTTGACCTCGATTTCGTTATCCTTGGAGATGCTATTCAAGCGTAATTTCCAGGTTCGTTACGTTCAACTGCTCTACGTTAATTATGGTGTTAAGCCAGACTTTATGGATATAATACTGGGGCATTTTTTAGATACAAGCTGGGGTACGCCGGTGTTCTATTTTGAGTGTTGGTCTGGTCTACATAGCTTATTTTTGGTCTGAAGTCAACTTGTACAAGTGAACCAATTAGTCCCATCTTCGGATTTCATTTAGGCGTATAGGTTGTGCACAGTTTGGTTAAAATCGAACATTCCATTCACATGATATTGCATTTATAATATTGAAAATGTGGGCCATTACCAGAAGAAGTGGTCATTTTCGGACTTCATCGATGCTTGGTAAAGATAATAGGTAAGACCAAAGGTGCTTCTATTGACGAAAATGGGATGGAAAAGCTATTTCTGATGGTGTGTGTGGCCTTGAGACGTCAATGTCGGCTGATAGAAAATATAGCATTAAACGAAAACCATTGAGTTGCATATAAAACACAATAGAAATTTTAGAGGATCTGAATTATAACCAGACTGGTAACAATGATAATTATCAGACTTAACTATGGGTGACGAATGTGTTCCATCAAATGCGAGCCTCACTCGGGTAGTGTAACCTTCGCTGAATTTGACTTTTTTGACAAAACTGTTAAAATGTTTAACTAATACTAATTTATCATATGTTTTTGTTAGGACGTTTTTTAATTAAGAATCAGAATCACCACAGTTTAATATGTACTGAAATATAGAGCTCGAAAGTGCCGAAGCTGCCCAGTCTCTCCTACACATTTTTTATCAATAATAAATTGTTCTAAAATTGTGAAATTCGGAACACTAAAAAATAAGTCATTTCATTATTATTAATATTTTTGTTAAAAGTAAAATCGGACGAAACTATATATTGGAGATATATCAAAATCGGAATCGATTTCAACAATACTTTACGAAAATCAAGCTGGACTTAATTCTGTATGCTGTGCAAAATGTTATCTCAATCGGACAAATATTGGGAGATTGGTGCACCATTTAAATAAAATCGGAGGAAAATATATATGGGAGCTATATCTAAATCTGAACCGATTTAACAAAAACTTCGCCTACGTCTATCAGCACCTAACACAGTCCAGTGCACAAAATGTTGTCTCAATTAGTTCAGCCTTTGAGTTTGGTGCACCATTTACAAAAAATCGGACAAAACGAAACGTCTATCTGAACCTAAATTAGTACGCAGCGTAAAATTTTGTCTCAATCGGACAAATATTGGGAGTTTTGTGCACTATTTACGAACAAAACGAAATATAAATCTGAACCGATTTCTAAAAATTTCGTATACGCCTATCTGAACCTAAACCAGTACGCAGCGTAAAATTTTGTCTCAATCGGACAAATATTGGGAGTTTTGTGCACTATTTACATAATATCGGACAAAGCTATATATGGGAGCTATATCTAAATCTGAACCGATTTCAATAAAACTTCACAGACATTAAACTGGACCTAATTTAGTGTGCTGTGCAAAATCTTGTTTCAATCGGACGAATTTTGGGAGTTTGGAGCACAATTTAGATAAAATCGAACGAAAATTTATATGGCAGCTATATCTAAATCTGAACCGATTTTATAAGAGCTACATCTAATCTGAACCGATTTTCTCCAAAATCCATAGGGATCGTCAGTGGGCCAAATAAGTGACTGGTGCCAAATTTTATCCAAATCGTATCATAAATGCGACCTGTGCTTTCTTTACAAGAATACATGGACGTTCAGATGGACATACATAAATTAACCATTCATTCTCCACACTGTGGTACGGGGTATTGTCTTTGTGCATATGTTTGTAACAGGCAAAAGGAATCGAGATAGACCCATGGTTCCTTCTTTCTGAGTCGATTTACGATGTTTTGATAAAATCGGTTCAGATTTAGATATAGCTCCCATATATAGTTTCGTCCGATTTTATCTAAATTGTGCTTCAAACTCCCAAAATTAGTCCGATGGAGACAAGATATTTCACAGCGTACTAAATTTGGTCCAGTTTAATGTCTGTGAAGATTTATTGAAAGCGGTTCAGATTTAAATATAGCTCCCATGTATATTTTCGATTCTGATTTAGGTTCAGATAGACGTATACGAAATTTTTTAGAAATCGGTTCAGATTTATATTTCGTTTTGTCCGATTTTTTGTAAATGGTGCACCAAACTCAAAGGGTGAACCAATTGAGACAACATTTTGTGCACTGGACTGATAGACGTATGCGAAGTTTTTGTAAAATCGGTTCAGATTTAGATATAGCTCCCATATATATATATTCCTCCGATTTTATTTAAATGGTGCACCAATCTTCCAATATTTGTCCGATTGAGACAAAATTTTGCACAGCATACAGAATTAAGTCCAGCTTGATTTTTGTAAAGTATTGTTGAAATCGATTCCGATTTTGATATATCTCCCATATATAGTGAATGATACACCAAACTCCTAAAATTTGTCCGATTGAGCAAAATTTTGTATTGCGAATGCAATTGAGGAAAAAATGATGTGTGATAAAGTTTGTTGAAATCGGTTCATATTTTGGTATAGATCTTATAGTATTTTGGTTCGATTTTTTGTCAATGGTGCCCCGAAAGGCTTACGTTTCTTCGATTTGGCAGAGGGTATTAAATTTAGTTCCGAGTGATAACAAAAAACAAATGGTGTATGCAACAATTGCTCAATTATGTCCATGTGTTTATATATAGCTCCCATACATAATTTTACTCGATTTCATACAAATGATACATCAAAGAATCCCGTGCCCGTTTGACATGCAATTTTTCATTGACTTCAGAATGGTATCTGTATTGGGGGTTTCAATGGGTTCAAATATCTATCTAGAGAGCACATTTAATTTCGCCCGATTACATCTCAATGGTCCTCCAAAGATTCTATGTCTTTTCCATCTACAGGATATTGTAGATATTGGCATCTCCAAAGTGGTGAAGGGTATCATATAGTCGGCTCCGTCCGACTTTTGAACTTTCCTTACTGGTTTTATTTGAATATCATTGCTGGTAATCTTGTTCATGGTATTTACCAACCCTGAAAAGCATCAAGCCGTTTTGTGTATTTTGGCAATTTGTTAAGATTGATTTAACCTGTCTTGTATACGGAATATCATAAAGTCGACGCCGTCCGACTTTTGTATATTCATTACTGCTTCATTATTTCTAAAGTTCAGTTTCTTTCCAGCCGACAGTAAACACAATTTTGTCTGGTCTAATAACATGTTTCAATAATTTTCCACAAATTTTCACCTTCCATTTGAACAGATATTTTTCATTAATAAATAATAAATTAATTTTTTGGTATTAACTTGTTTCTATACTTTCATTCTATTCACAATTTTCCCATTGTTCCCGCTGCAATTTCCGGCTGTAACAAAAAGGAACGTCTTTTACTGTCAGTGCTGCCGAGGCATGTGGCCATGGAAATGAAAGATGATATCGCAGGACAACCGCGTGACACACAATTTCACAAGATCTATATACAACGACACGAAAATGTCAGGTGAGTTTCGAAGCACAATGGAAAATTTAAAATGACCTCCCTTCCACAGATTTGTGAGTTTGAAATAATTCCCAGAAACGCATGCACACAGCAAGACCAACCGAACCAAGCCACAAAA